AACTGAAGGTTGAAAAAATACTAGTACTGAATGTCAGAATTGACCAAGGGTTCAAGGCTTTTACTGATAGTTTGGGGAAATGCTGAATGCAAAGCACTGGAAAATTTCAGTTTGCAATTGGTAACAGAGCCAGGATTTCACAGGGGTTATAATGAAACACAGTCCTGGGACATATAAAGTCTGTGTATCCTGGTGGAAGAACTATGTGTCCTTAAAGAGCCACAATGGAGTTAGTTAGAAAAATTCTACTAAGAGGCAGAAGGAATTTTAAATTGTAACAATAGCCTCGAGGCAGAAAATTTGGGTGAGGTTTCAGAGAGAGAGATGGGTCCTCTGAGCAGATCACACATTAATATATTGTTATGCTTGTGCATTCTGTGACCTGCTCTTGCAAACATATGTGTAATGTATATACACCTATGCATGGTACAGTGTTTGTAAGTAAAAAGATTAAGCATAAAGACTTCTGCATGCATCTGACAATAGAGTAGTCAGGGATAATCCCTGCAACTGTTCTGAACAGAAAATAAACCATGATTTAAAAACCAATGATAGCTGGTTCTATTTGCCTGGTAAAGACATACGGGGTCTGGAATTCCTCCACTGAGAGGACTGATAAACTAGAGGTAATGCTTACTGATGAGAGTTTGCCAGAGAGCATTAAAGGTGAATTCTAGATCTGCTCTCTGTGTTGTTTCTAAAGGCCAGACATAAAAGGTCCTATAGTACCAGAGAAGTAACAAACCTATGTGTTAAGAACGTGTCAAGAAAACTCCTCTAGTCTACATATTAGGAAACTCTTCTACAAGTTTTAATATGATTGATATTAGAAACTTAACTTACACAGAAACCTTTCAAGACTCAGAAAATCTCCCATATCAGAAGTGCATTCTCTAGCAATACAGCTTTACTGGCAACGCGTTGAGATTCAGGTTTCTGAGTGCAGATTGTCCTCTGCATAGAAACAGATCAGTCCCTAAATGCTCATGAAAATCAGGCTGGAAGTGCCTTTCACCCATCTCTAACCCATCTCTACGGCACTTTTAGTATGAAAGGTATTACACAGAGATGCAAAAGCCCAGGCCTGTGCTGCAAGAACTGACAATTTAGTTGGATGTCTCAACATAACAGCTTACATGGGATGGGTGATGTAGGGTCAGACTTTACCACCCCAGTCAAAAGCAGGAGCTCACTCTGCAAACAGTCTGGTATGTACCAGGAGAAATGCTGAGAGGGGGTCACAGCGGCTGTTACTGTGCTAATTACAACACAATAAATACTTGTAGGAGCCAGGACTGTGGAGAGGTTGGATCGTATGGGGAGGAACTGCCAGTGGAAGAGCACCATGCCTCTGCAGAACGCAGACCAAGAGTACAATACCGGTCAGCGTCACACACCCTGAGCACACTCACCTCCCACTCATTTGGTTCCAGGCAAAGGACCAGCTACTGTTTAGTGCTATAGGGGCACAAACTGCACACTGATTAAAACTCATGATTTTCTTTTAAAAGCATTGATCAGCTTGTATGACTGTAAAAATGCTATTTATGACAGTAGAAATTAAAGCAACACAAAATTGCTCTGTGTACAGCTGATCTGTGTATCACATTGTTTCTTACAAGAAGATAACCTCCACTGTAGCACTATGACAAATGTTACTCTAAAGATAGATTCGATATATTTCAGGAACCTTCTCTGGTTTTCTTCAAACACTAATGTATGCCCTGCCACTCATTCTGTAGGACCAAGCAATATGTGGCTGTTGACTTTAATGAGACCAGGTGTTAACCCCCCAAACAGCATCCACTACAACTGTATGCAGTGTTTGGAGGACAGCACTGAGGACAGAAATGGGATTTTTCACCTAGAGGTGTTTTAAAGGCAGCAAGGGCAGAAAGAAGCTCTCATCTCTGGGTCATGGCTTGGAATCACACCCCAAGATGTGGTATCCTGAAGCCAAATTCAGACCCAGGACTAGAAGTTACCTCTGAAAAGCAGCGTGATTATTCCTGCTTGTTCCAAGATCAGCACTGGTCCTACAAGTTCTAGTGGACATCAGAAGCAACCAGATGAGCTGAACGAAAATAAAGTCCCAGTAATTCTCTGTCCTGGGCATGGTATCTGCATAAAAAGCAAAACTTTCATTTTTATATTGACAAATTCTTATTTTTTAAATGGCCAAATTAATCCATTTCCATTTCATTCTCTGCTTAACTAGTTGAAAAGAAAGGAAAAATCATAAAGAAAGACATTTCAGAGGCAGTACTAATATGTTTCTTCTACTTCAAATTCCCATATGTTCAATAAAAAAACTTTAGTGGATTATGGTAGATTAGCCCAGAAATATTGCTTAAACTTGTATTTTGTTAGGAAATCTTACTTCAGCTAAATGAACGGAGAGACACTGCCTGTAAATATCATGTTTTAAACATACATTTTTTTTTAATCTCTTTCTATATTGTGGGAAATTTTCACTCCTATTAAACTTTGCTGTAATACAAACATTCTCATTTCTACACTAAGAATGGAATAAAGCACATGAATCAGATCTGCGTGGCTGTATCTCAAGTTATATATTTACTATTCCATTTGTCACTAGAGTTTTCCGTCTTGCCTTGTAAAACCCCATATAACTTTTGACAGAACATCTAATCCTAGACAAAATGGAAAAGCTTGACCTCTTCCTATATATATTTGCAGAACTGTATAAATCTAGGTTCCCAGCGGGCTGACGCTTTGCTCTTTTATGCAAGGCAAGCGATTGCTCACAACGCCGGCAAAGGCAGTATGCAGCTACCTGGTAGCCTGTTTTCTCATGATGGGTCTGATCTTCAAGGATGCTGAGCACCCATGGGCACATGCTGAGATCCTCACCTGCTTCCCTTGGGAACAGAAAGTGATGAAAGACCCTATTTCTCATCATGTTCATCAGCACTATTTTAGCTGTTGGCTTCAGAGGTCAGGAAAGACTTCCCAGTGCCATCAAAGAGCTGCTCTGTACATCGCAGAATAAGGTCCTGCAGTGACTAAGCCTGCAGGAGGCAATCTGCCTGACAACAACAGTGTGCTTTTATGTAGAAGTGAGAGTTGAACATGTCAGGGAGAGGGTCTGTTTTTGTGGAATTCCTTTGCTCAGTGGATAAAACTTGGGCTTCTAACTTAGTCCCACAGTACTGTTGCTGCATGCCAGAGCAGCAAAGCTGCCTGTAACCACCTATTGAGAGGCTTTACCTGACTCAAACTAGCTAGTATTTTTTTAATTTATCCTAACAACATCCTGATGCCCCACCAAAGCCTGGCCAAAGCATTAGCATCTTGTTTGGTCTGAAAGAAACCAAGCTATCTTATGTAAAAAAAATTGTATTTCCTCCTTCTGGAAATGTCTTCAGAGACTAGTTGTCTGTAATGATTTGACAGAAGTTTCCAAATAAACAAACTAGTGGGTGCATAAAGTTTTCATTCACTTTCCAAACAATTCCATGGGCAGCGAAGAATGGCTTCATTTCAGTGGAAAATTCCTTGCCACTTTCCACACATCATCTCAGGTGACTACAGAAGAAAGCTTGTCTTCTTTCTATCTTGGTAATTTAATACATTTGTCTGGTACAACTTCTGGTTGACAAAAAACAGCTAAGTAAGAAGTCATTAAGATTTCCATCTCAGAGAAACTTTTTGGAGTTATGAGAGTTTAGTTATAGGAACTGGGACTTTGTGAGATGCTAGCAAATTACTCCGTGCTTTAGTAAAAATTACCCTAAGAGCTTAACCCTTAGAGTAGCTGCTAAGCATGTACATCGTATTATACCACATCTCTATTACCTACATATTATAGGCAAGATAAGATTTTTGTACACAGCATGGAACATGCAATTCACTGTTGGACAGAATAGCCATAATTTGCGTTTCTGTATGTAAACTGCAGGATCAGATTTTGAATGGTTAATCCTCATTACTCACCTCATAATTCTCTTGCTATGTATCCATAAGCTGTGAACAAAAACATCTGTCAGCCAGGTCCTCTGTTCCCTCCTCCCAGCAAAGCATGACTTTCAGACCCCTGCGTGGACTGTAACCATTCCTCACCCATAGAGAAACATCTGGCATTTTAGAAAAGGCACATGAAAATGACATTTTTGAAAGAGTCAGATCCAGTTCTGAACTCAAGCCATAGAAGTCTATTCCCTAAGCAACTTTAGAGGTATTGAAATATATTTTTAAGACCCTGAGTCCACTGACATCTGCTCCTAGTCTCTGCAAGAACTGTGTCATGAGCTCCTTGTCAAGTAAGCCTATAAAATCCAAAAGTGTTAGAAACATTCCTGTGAACTCAATACCAGTGGGGAATGAAGCTAAAACCTGTACCTTACATGCCATCGATGATGGATCAGCCTTTGAAAACTCCCCTGAGCCTATCTGGCTCCTAGGAGACTTTCAGAAGAGCCCACAGGGTCAGCACATCAATTCCTTGAAGCAGAGGAAAATAAAATCCTGCTAGGAAGAAGAAGGAAGAGAGACAAGTAACTTCTACACTCCCAAACATCAGCCAGCTATTGGGGTGCATGCAAACATTTTTCAATCCCTCCCAAAATGAAGTGACACTATTGCTAAGACCCATTCACCACATTCTTTCCTACAGACAGTTCCAGAGTTTTGATTCAGCTCTTGATCTCAGCTTACAGCCACTGCTGCCCTCCTGCCAGTGTGTCTACGGACTTGGGTACAATAGGCAACAGGAAAACAAAAGGGGGGGAAAGGGAGAAAATAATATGTAATTTCTTTTTTCCAAAATGAAAAATTGAATTTTTTTAACCTTTAAACATGCTTGTTTACTTACAGAAAGAGTATTTCAGGCACAAAAGGTTTGAGAATCAGTCACATACCAGGTTAAATTGTAATAGAATCAGGATTGTCCCATGCAGTGTGGTCAGCTATAGTATCCCCTATCAAGAAGTTGAAGTTGTAGTTTTTGTTTACATACATATATATAAAGTATGCATCTTTCACACTATGGTCTCCTGGTCTGAGCTGACTCCAGTAGAGTTTACGTAACAACAGTATCTGTCATAAGGAGTGCTCTCCTTGTAAGAGCAGACAATGATACTGTCTTTAGGAGCAACAAAAATGTTGTCTTCAACGTCTGGGCGTGCGGTGCTGTCCTTGGTGAGAGAACAGCTCTTATTCTCCAAGGCACTGTATGCGGACCCCTCTCCCATGAACACGTTCTCTGGCATCTCTGGGTAACAGGTCTCCAGGTATCTCAGCATGTCCTCCTGCTCCACCTCTTTGATGAAGTTCTTGCGCTCTCCCATGGTGGTGATGGTGGCAGCGGTGCAGATGGTTGTGCAGTTCTCACCCCACCGCACCTTCCTGTCCTTCTGGCATGCTTTCTTGGCCAGCTCATCACAACTCCCCTTGCCAGACTCCAGGTCCGAGGGGGTCCTCAGCAACTCTATGCTGTCCCGGTCCTCGACTTCCTTGCAGCACATACACTCGTCCTCGGGACATTTGGTGCAGCCGTCGGTCTTTTTGGTGAGGGCGATGGCGGCGATCCCTGGCAGGCAAATGGCCGGCCCGATGGCCAGCAGCGGGATGTCCCCCAGGGTCTCTCCCTTGATGCCAGACACGGTGAACATGAAGCCAAACACCAGGAAGACGCTGACTAGAGCCACCACCAGCCCCGTTCGGGGGTTGATGTCGTCGGGTTTCACGGACCGCGCCA